TTTCAAAATAAAAATATTAGGGCACAAAAAGAAATAATCCTTTGAAGACGGGTGGACTTGTGCCTTCTTGACCCTCTATAGCCCTCTTCTGTGGACTGGGCGCTGTGTGGGGCCTCCCTCAAGACTTAGAGATGAGAAGACAGGTGGGTACAGTCACTTCCCAGAAAGATTATGGCAGTGGCAGCAATAGGGGTTGTACCTGAGGAAATCCCAGGGGGAAGTACTTGTTCCTTGAGTCATTAAGGAAGTGTCAGAAGAGGGTGGGGAAGTGTGTTGGCTGGAGATAACTATGAAGGCAGCCCCACGGAAATGCTAGAGGTAAATCTTGAGAGCAGATTCTGGCATGACACAGGCTTCTTGTACCTGGTGATTCCAGTGGCCAGTCAAGGAGAAAAACGCAGAATGAGTCTGCCAATCTGTGGGCTGAGGTGCCCAGAACTGGCTCTCCCTCAGCCACAGCCTGACATGGAGGCCTTAGAAAGCTTCTTTCCTTCTGTCAGTGTCTGGATCTCTTCCACAGAGGAACGAGGAATTGTTGCCTTTGTCGCACTCAATGAAAAGAAATGAGAGAAGAACAGAAAGAAACTAGTCCTGGCAGTGTTGGGCGAATGCCCCAGGGCTCATAACTATGACACCCTGTAGCACTGATCATGTAAAGTAGTGTTTATCACTGTTACTATTTCTGTTCTGTTATGAAGTTGGTATTCCTAGAAATTCACAGAAGAACCCCACGCAGAGGTAGTGGTCAGGTGCTGGCCCCTGGAGTTAAATCTGTCCGCAGCTTTGAAGTGGGTGTACTATGTCCTGCCCCGATGCCCTTGGCCAGCTGGCGTAGGCTAACAACATCTCAAAGCTGCCCCTTCTCTGGAGAATAGCCCTCGGCCAGTGGGAGCCACTAACTACACACCTTCCACTCCCTCCACTCAGGGGCGGACTGGATTGGAGGTGCAAAAGGGTGGCGCTCTTTCACGGCGGGTCCAACTCTGTGGTGCAATGTGTGGGATTGAACTGAGGTGTGATTCCAGCCTAGACCCCTCCTTCTTTAGACTCCTTGCTCTCCCCTACCTGCTTCCCTCACTGCCCCTTCTCTTGAGAATGCTCTTTCAAGGAAAGGGCTTGAGAAGTCCTGTCTCGGGTTCTGCTTCTAGGACCTCCATCCCAAGGAAAGCACTTTCTAGCTGTGTGTGATGTATTAGACATTCTAGTCACTACAGCAAACACATCGCCAAGTTAAACTTCTATGGTTTAGCATAATAGATATCTCCACTTGCAGCCGATTGACTTGGTCAAGTATTTGGGGGGAGGGAGGTGTGCTCTGCTTTACTCGCACTTTCAGGCACTGAGGCCAATGGAGGCTGTGCCATCTTCTAGGTGTGGCTCCAAGGTCACCCTTGATGGCCACAGAGATTGGGGCGGGGGAGAAGAGGGGAGAGAAATGCACTCTTGCTTCTTAATCACTCAGGCTCAAAGTGACACCATTCATTTCTGCCCACATTCCATTGGTGGAACTAGTCACATGGTCCACATACAGGCTAGGGTGGCTGGGAAGTGTAGTCCCTACCTGGGAAGTCACCACTTAGTAAGAGCTCTACACCCTGAAAGGATCATGGACCTTTGGTGGGCAGTTATCTCTACCACACTGTGTGACCTTGAGCAAGTTATTTTAATTTTCTGAGACTCAGTTTCTTTACCTATAAAACGGGGCAATTAACAGGATCCCCCACATAGTTGTGGTCATAAATCAATGAGTTGAAACATACAAAGTGCTTGGACTAAGGCTTGGACAGAATAAGGGCTCAGAACATTAACTATTTTTATTATTTGTTGAGAATCCACTTTGGGTTATATATATCCTCACCACCATCCATGATATGCAGATAATCATTACACCTGCCTTACAGAGAAGTAGGGTGAAGTTCACAGATGGGAAGTGATTGACTTGAGGTCCTACAATTAGGGAGCAACAGAAACGGGCCAGGTAGCCAACATAATTTTACACTAAGGACTGTCAGGCTTTTGCTAAACAGCCCAGAACCCAATCTTGGCATTTGCCATTGGAAAGATGCCAGGATCCCAGGTAGGTTGCCTTAATCTCCTGACTTCATCTACCTGGCTGGGTCCCTGACAGCCTTTCCACTCCTGTCTTTATCACTCTGCCTTTTAGCCACTACAGTCTAGCCCTGCTTTCTTTCTCACATAAGCCAAGCTCAGGGCCCTTACTCCTGCTCTCCCCTTTGCCTGGAATACTCTTCCAACCTGTCTTTCCATGGTAGGCTCTTTCTTGTCACTCTGCTCTCAGCTCAAAGGTCACCTCTTCAGGGAGACCCTCCCTGATCCCAGTTCAGTCACTTACTTTCGCATCATGGGCCTGACACTCAGTCATATCTAAGATTTTTTGTGTGCTCAGTGACTGTCTCTCTCATTAGGTTGCGATCACAACAAAAGCAAGGTCCTCATTCTCATTACCATATTTTTTCGTGTATAAGACACCCCCATGTATAAGACGCTCCCCACTTTTCCAACCTAAAATTAAGAAATAGATATTGTAAATATTTTGCTGGTTTTCCTCTTTAAGCCTTTTTCTTTTTTGGCATCTTAAGATTCCGGTCAAGGGCATGTACCTGGGTTGCGGGCACATCCCCAGTAGGAGATGTGCAGGAGGCAGCTGATCGATGTTTCTCTCTCATTGATGTTTCTAACTCTCTATCTCTCTCCCTTCCTCTCTGTAAAAAATCAATAAAATATATTTTTAAAAAAAGAAATCGATATTGTAAATATTTTGCTGGTTTTCCTCTTTAAGCCTTCTTCTTTTTTGGCATCTTAAGATGTTCCACAGTCTGATCATACACTCAGTGGGAGGAGGTCCAAATTGTCTCGCTGCAGCTCTATTTCCATGCTCTTTTGCATTGCTGATTATATTCAGTTTGAATTTTGCAGAGTAAGACAATTGCTTACAGTATTTATCTTTTTTATTTTTTGACATCTTTATGGGGTCAGAACGCTCTGGTCCCTGTTGCATCTGCACACTCTCCACCTCCACCTCCAATTACGGCATCAGCTGATGTCAGTAACAATAAGGCTCATGACTTGAGGAAGCCAGTTTGACAAGGTATGGGCAGTTACGCACCTGCGCACCTGCATGGCTCCCTCCTCAGCTTACTTCTGTGTATTAGATGCCTATCTAAAAAAAAAATAGCGTCTTATACATGGAAAAATACAGTAGTCTTTCTGTATCCCAAGCAACCAGGACAAAGTTCTGGCATAAAGGTCAGCCTCAGTAAATATTTGTTGACTAAAACAAGACATTTAATGGATGACCTGTTACCCTATGTACCTCTTTGCCCACCTTCTTTCCCCTCTTCCTCTAGGGACCCTGCTTGAGGCCATGCACATCTTCAGAGGGCGCCATTCACAGAGCAACAATGTGAATCATCAGGGAGGAGGCAGTGTTTCAAAAGTGCACAACTTATATAAATGTAGTGATGGCTCTGTTGCTATCTTTCCCTCCCCTACAATCATTCATTCATTCATTCATTCAATCAAAAACATCTACTGAGCACCCACGATATGCAGAGTTAGTGGTGCAGACACAGTAGGAGAGAAGAGAAACACCTCTGTGCCTGTGTGGCAAATTTGAAACTTGCAAACAAAAGAAAAATAGAAGGTATAAAAATGTCAAAAATAAGTAGACCATTGTGAATTACACATTCATTTCTCTTTCTCCTCTGCTATTGTTCTCAGCCTTTCTTTTCAAACTTTGCAGCCTCTGCAGTCACTGACAGATTCCCCATACCCTTTCCCTCTCCCTCCAATGCAATGGGCTAGAGCTGATTTGTAGACACCTGCAAAGCTGATTATTAAATATTTAGGGATTTGGCAAGCTGGTTGTCAAACTGTGCATGGCTTCAAAATCAGACGTGGTGGGAGCCTTTGCACCACAGTAATGGGCCAACATTATGAGATGAGGTTTGTTGATGCTGTTTTTCCAAAAAGCTGGTTTTATAGCACACCACTGTTCCCATCTGTTTCTAGCAGAAAAACTTTGCTTTGTCAAAGAATGTTCTAGTTCTTCCATAGCAATTCCATTCCCCCTGCCATACTTCAGCCCCTTCCTGGGTGGCAGGAACTGGGGACTCTAAGCCTACATTGTGGAAGGAGAGGAGAGAACAGAGGAAGACAAAAGATAAGTAAAAGAAAAAAAGAGAAAGCATGAGGGAAGGTCATGAAATAGGGTATTTGAAAAAAGCAATATGGGGAGGAAAGAGAAAGAAAAGAGAAGTAGGCATCTGTGGAGAGGCAGAGGTTAGGGTAGAAAAACCATAGAGGCCAGCAAAGACCCATCACACAATGTCCTCACAGGAAGTTCAGCCATTTCCCCACCTGGGGCCAGAAGGTTGCCAGGTTGCAAGGACAAATGAGGAAACTACCTTTGCAAACTACCCTGAAACAGTGTGGGAATGGGATCCACACCAATTGAGGCTGGGGTCAGGATGCCTCAGTTTTTAACTGGGAGCCTGCACAACTGAGTCAGAGAGAACAGAGGGGCCTTGAGTCCTGGGTCAGAGGGAGGAGGAGGAACTCGGGTTTCTGAGCCTTTAAAGTTGGTGATACTCCGAGTGTGGGCCCAGGCCTTCTTTAGCAAGGCCCTCCACTCCCCACCCTTTCCTGGCTGCCCTGAGTGAAGAGAAATATAAAAGGGCTCCGTTTCCTGGGGGAAGAACAGGAGCAAGAGAATTCTAGCTGCCCCGACCATGAGCTCCATTCTGCCAGCCCTCCTGGGCCTCACCCTCATGCTGCCCCATGAGTGAAAACCCCAACTTGGGAGGGGATTTCCTGGGAGGATGGGCTCAGATGGATTTTCTGTTCCCACCTCAGGAGTGCAGGCCCTGACCTGTCAGACAGGAATACTGATGATTGGTAGGAAAACATCAGAACTGCCCTTGGAGTGGAAAACAGGCGAGGAATTCTGCATGGATGGCTGGGGTTGCCAAGATTCGCTGATGCTCATTGAGAATGGTGAGAAAGGCCCCAAAGGCCCCAAGCCTGACCCCACCTTCACCTGCACAGGGATATCCCTCCTCCTGACCAACAGTCTCCAAAGACTCCCTCCTCTCATGCCAGGAGCTGTCCCCTCCCCAGCAGGAGCAAGCCCTCAGCAGCCCAGTTGCCTCCTTTTCATCCTCTCCCCCAGCCACGATGAAGACTCTCCCTCTAGCACCCCGGAGTCCTGATCCTCACCTGGCCTGTCTCCTTTTTCATCTAGGACCCGATGTGTTCCTAGCGCTCAGCAAGGAATGTACCCAGAAGGAGGATCATGAGGTCCGTGTCACCCAGCACAGGAAAGGCCCTGGCCTCTCTGTCGTCTCCTACACCCATATGTGCTGCCACAAGAACCTCTGCAATGACCTCTCCACCAGTCTGGACCCTGCCCACCTCTGCAGGTGCGAACAAGGAGTGGGAGGAGGAGGAGCAGGAGAGGACAGGAGCTATGGCAGGAGGGGAGCACAGAAGGGTTGTTCATTTAGAACCCCTCCCTCCTATCTGGCCTGTGCACACTTCCCAGGACTTCCGTGCCTGACACAGTTTCTTCAAACAGACCTGGGGCAGGAACCTGGGCTGCTTTTCTGAGTTCAACCCCTCCTCATATTCTGGCAATGACCTGAACCAGGGCCAAACTCCTTTCTCTATACTGTTGTGCTTGGATCACTCATGTTTCATTAAAGTTTGGGTATATCCTCTTAAAGTGAAATTGGCCTGTAGCATGCCACTGTCCTTTTCTATATCATAAACTGTTTTAGAGCGGGGGTGTGCTTTGTGATTCTCTGATCTTTAGGGCATCTTGTCTGCTTGAATTGTGTAGTGGAGGTTGTGGGTGAAAGCTACCCTGGTTCCTCCAAAGGGCCCCCTCCTGCCTCAGTCACCTCTGCCTCTCCCAGGTCTCATTCCCCCTAACCCCCCGCCCCTTGATCTATCAGCAACCACTCCACTGCAATTTCCAGCACCCCAGGTCTATATGAGACTGAGGAGGTTGATGATGGGGCCACAAAAGCGAAGGGGATAGAAAGCACCAGATTCAAATGCAGAGCCCACTCAATCCTCCCTTCTTCCCTCTCCCCTCCCAGTCCCAGGGTCGGTGCGGTGCCCAGTCTGCTTTTCTGAGGAAAGCTGTGAATCTGCAACAGAGCTGACCTGCCCCATTGGGAACACGCACTGCTACAATGGGACCCTGCAGCTCAGGGGAGGTAAGCTGGGACATCCGGGTCCCTGCTGGCCCTGAGGGTAGCTGAGGGCTGGAGCTCAGAGGAGGGTGAGCCTGACTCCTCAGGGTTGGAAAGTCCCAGTGATGGCATCTCACTCTCCCCCACTCTGCCTGGCCTCTTTCCACAGTTGACATCTTCACCGATCTGAAAGTCCAGGGATGCATGTCCCAAGCAGGCTGCAACCTGCTGAATGAGACTCAGAAAATCGGGGCCTTGTCTGTGAGTGAAGTGTGATTCTGATGGTGAGTTCCTTGTCTGGAAGATGAGACTGTACCCACCCTTCAGCACTGGGGTACAATGACCCTTGTGAAAGTCAGACGTGCAAACACATCCAACCAACACCAATACCCACAAATAATTTAGAAGTTTATTACTCACTCAGTCATGCAAAAAGTGAGAAATTGTCCTGATAGGTGCCATGGGGTGAACATACCAGTAAGAGGTGCCCAGCTGAAGGGAAAGTCAGGCCCAGGGGACAGATATAGGACAGGTGTCTTGGCTGGCTGTGTTGTTGATCACTTTATCCATTGTGTGTGGAAGTGAATGCAGGGTGCATGCTTCTCATGCTGGAAGTGATTCATTACCTTCAGTTCGATTTCTCCACACTCTTGACCTTGAGTAGCCCTAGATCCCTGCCCTCCCCTCTTGCAAGAGCCAAGCAGGGACACTGGGAGGGTCCCCACTCAACCACACAAGCCCAGCCCTTACCAATACACCCAACTGAGAAAGAGACTGGCCTGGAGTATCTCAATGAGAAGCACCAATGGCAGGGAGGAGAGTGGGAAGAGGGCCTTTCTTGTCTGAGACTCAGCTTCCTCATCCACCCACAGCACCCAGTCCTTAAAGCGTCAAGGTGAAAGTTCAGTGAATGCAGCAACATTCCTCTGTGTGCTTGGACTCTCTGAATAGACTGGGAGCCTTGAGGACAAGGCCTGGATGTCACTGACACCAAGGTTTTTAGCCTGAGGCAACACAAGGGCTGGCTCAGGATGTGAAGTGAGCTTATATAGGATTCCACTGTCTCTGGTGGTGACTCCAGAGGACTGAGACCCTAACCCTGCCCTAAAGGGCCTCCAGGATGAGGAGGGGAGACATTACTGATGCAGATGGTCACAGGGCTGCAGTGAGAGGGGTCTAAGGGAGGTCTGAGGAGGAAGATACTAATGTCCTGCAGGGGGGTATCAAGAAGGGCTTCACAGAGGTGGTAACTTTAAAGATTAGCTGCAGTCTATTAGGGCAGTTTTCAGCAAACCGGGGCTCGAGAACCACATGCAGCTCTTTGGCCCCTTGAGTGTGGCTCTTCCACAAAATACTACATGGGGGCGCACATGTACAGTGCGATTGAAACATCTTGGCCCATGCGCAGAAGTCGGTTTTCGGAAAGGAGATAGATGAAAAAAGTATACAAGGCGAGTGCGGATGGGAGAGTTGGAAGGGGTCAACCTCAGTTAATGTACCTCAATCAGATTGAGGACATTTTTAGCCAAGGCCAGCTTAGGAGTACCCTAATTAAGTTAATAACAATGTACCTACCTATATAGTTTAAGTTTAAAAAATTTGGCTCTCAAAATAAATTTCAATCGTTATACTGTTGATATTAGGCTCTGTTGACTAATGAGTTTGCCAACCACTGTATTAGTAGAAGAGGTAAAGGTCATTAATAGGAAGAGGAAACAGCCTGTGCAAAGGCCCTGTGGTGGGAATTAACCTGCTATTTTATAGAAGGGCTCCTTGGCTCTACCTGAGAAGGTCACATCAAGAGGATGGGATGTGGCTGGAACTGGGGGTGATTGCCAATTTCTCACGTAAACAAGGTGGATGTGGGTGACCTCTGCTATTCAAAGCAGAAGGAACAGTGGTGCAAGGCCAAGGAGGCAAGAAATGACATGGCGTGTCTTTGGAATGGATATTGTGGGGGAGTGAAGAGGGTGGTTGGGGGGCCTGGTGTTGGGTCAAGTAGCCACAAAGCCAGACTGAAGGGTTAGTCTTTCTCCTGAGGCACAGGAGCCATGGAAGGGTATTCAACAGGGTAGAACTATCTGAGTCTCTCATTTGATTAGTTCTGTTTAATTATCTGGCCCTCATCTCTGAGACTAGGTAACATTTATTTTCCAGAAGGCATTCCAGAAAATAATCTAATGTAACCCATACCACAGAGACACAGCACACAAACACACAACAGACATAACCTCACTTATCATACCAATGCACACCAAACACCACATGAGAAAAGAGAAGTAGAAATCTGTGGTGGGGCAGAGGTTAGGCTAGAAAAAACATAGAGACCAGTCAAGACCCATCACACAATGTCCTCACAGGCAGTTGAGCCATTTCCCCACCTGGGCCAGAAGATGGGCTGGTTGCCAGGAGAAATGAGGAAAGTACCTTCACAAACTACCCTGAAACAGTGTGGGGGTGGGGATCCAGACCAGTGGAGGTTGGAGTCAGGATGTCTCAGTTTTTAACTGTAGTGGGGTCTGGGAGCCTGGACAACTGGGGCAGAGGGAGCAGAGGGGCCAAGACTCCTGGGTCAGAGGGAGGAGAAAGGATTCGGGCTCTGGGCCTTTAAAGTTGGTGAGACTCAAAGTGTGGGCCCAGGCCTTCTTTAGCAAGGCCCTCCACTCCCCATGATTTCCTGGCTGCCCTGGATGAAGAGAGACATAAAAGGGCTCCATTTCCTGGGGGAACAGCAGGAGAGAGAGAATTCTAGCTTCCCTGACCAGGTACCCTGCCCTGCTGCAAACTCTAGTGGGCCTAATGGATTGCTGTTCCCACCTCAGGAGTAAAGGCCCTGTCCTGTCAGTTGGGAAGACTGACGATTGTAAGGAAAACATCAGAACTTCCCTTGAGATGGACAGCTGACAAGGAGACCTGCAAGGAAGGTTGGGGTTGCCAAGATTCACTGATGCTCATTGAGAATGGTGAGAAAGGCCCATAGGTCCCAAGCCTGACCCCACCTTCACCTGCACAGGGATATCCCTCCTCCTGACCAGGAGACTCCAAAGACTCTCCCCTGCCCCTCCTGCCAGGAACAGTCACCTCCCCAGCAGAAGCAAGCCCTTAGGTGCCCAGTTGCCTCCTCTCCAGCCTCTCCCCCAGCCATAACCAAGACTCTCCCTCTAGCACCGCAGAGTGCTGATCCTCACCCTGTCTGCCTCCCTCTTCATCTAGGACCGCTAGTGTTCCTAGCGCTCATCAAGGGCTGTACCCAGAAGGAGGATCATGAGGCCCGTGTCACCCGGCACAGGGAAGGCTCTGGCCTCTCTGTCATCTCCTACACCCGTGTGTGTCACCACAAGAACTGCAATGACCTCACCTCCACTGACCCTGTCTGGACCCTGCCCACCTCTGCAGGTGCGAACAAGGAGGGAGAGGAGGAGGAGCAGGAGAGGACAGGAGCTAGAAGGGAGGAGGGGAGCACAGAAGGGCTGTTCATTTAGAACCCTTCCCTCCCACCTGCCTGTCCACAATCCCCAAGACTATCTCCTCCGTCAGTTTCTTCTAACAGTCCTGGAGTAGCAAACTGGACTACTTTTCTGATTCAACCCCTCCTCAAACCCCAGTGATGGCCTGAACCTGGGACAAGCTCCATGCTCTATACTATTGAGCTTGGCTCACTCATGTTTCACTTAGGGTTTGGGTATATCCTCTTAAAGTGAAATTGGCTTATAACACTCCACTGTCCTTGTCTATGTCATAAACTGTTTGTGAGGGTGGGTGCTTTGTGTTTCTCTACTCTTTGGAGCATGTTGTTTGCTTGGACTGTGCAGTGGAAGTTGTGGGTGAAAACTGCCCTGGTTCCTCCAAAGGCCCGCCTCCTGTCTCAGTCATTGCTGCCTCTCCCAGGTCTCCCACTGCACCCCCTTGCTCTCTCAGCAACCACTCCACTGCAATTTCCAGCACCCCAGGTCTACATGAGACTGAGGAGGTTGATGATGGGGCCACAAAAGCAAAGAGGGTAAAAGGCACCAGATCCAAATGCAGAGCCCACTTAGTCCTCCCATCTTCCCTCTCCCCTCCCAGTCCCAGGGTCCTTGCGGTGCCCAGTCTGCTTTTCTGAGGAAGACTGTGAATCTGCAACAGAGATGACCTGCCCCGTTGGGCACACACACTGCTACAATGGGACCCTGCACCTCAGGGGAGGTAAGCTGCGGCATCGGGGTCCCTGCTGGCCCTGAAGGTAGCTGAGGGCTGGGGCTCAGAGGAGGGTGAGCCTGATTCCTCAGGGTTGGAAAGCCCCAGTGGTGGCATCTCACTCTCTCCCACTTTGCCTGGCCCTTTTCCATAGTTGGCATCCGCACTGATCTGAAAGTCCAGGGATGCATGTCCCAAGCAGCCTGCAACCTGCTGAATGAGACTCGGGAAATCGGGGCCTTGTCTGTGAGTGAAAAGTGTGATTCTGATGGTGAGTCCCTTGTCTGGAAGGTGAGGCTGTACCCACCCTTCAGCCTTGGGGTCCAATGACCCTTGTGAATGTCAGATGTATAAACACATCCAACCATCACCAACAGTCACAAATAATTTAGAAGTTTATTACACATTTGGGCATGCACAAGGTGAGGGATTGTCTTGGTAGGTACCATGGGGTGAGCCTGAGAATAAGAGGTACCCACCTGAAGGGAAAGACTGGCCCAGGGGGCAGATATAGGACAGGGTGGGTGGGTTGGCTGCTTTGCATTGCACTTTATCCATTGGGAATTCACAATGCAGGCTTCTAATGCTTTGAGTGATGCATTGCCTTCAATTCTATTTCCCCACACTCTTGACCTAGGTTAGCCCAAGTTGCCTTACCTCCCTCCACCCTCATCCATTCCCCACCAATGGTACTAGAGCACCCTAGCAGCCCTGCTGCATAGGAAAGAAAGTCAGAGAGAAAACAGGGTGTTTCATGTGTAATAGGTCAGCAAAAGACAAGTAGGGACACTGGGAAGGTCCCTGCTCACCCACACAAGCCCAGCCCTTACCAGCACACCCAACTAAGAATGAGACTGAGAATGGCCTGGAGTACCACAATGAGAAGCACCAATGGCAGGGAGGAGAGTGAGAAGAGGGCCTTTCCTGTCTGAGACTCAGTTTCCTCATCCAACCACAGCACCCCGTTCTTAAACCTCAAGGTGAAAGTTCAGTGAATGCAGCAACATTCCTCTTTGTGCTTGGATCTCTCTGACTAGACTAGGAGCCTTGAGGACAAGGCCTGGATGTCACTGACACCAAGGTTTCTAGCCTGAGGCAACACAAGGGCTGGCTCAGGATGGGAAGTGAGCTTGTACAGGACTCCAAGGTCTCTGGTGGAGACTAGAGAGGACTGAGACCTTAACCCTGCCCTAAAGGGCCTCCAGGACCAGGAGGGGAGACATTACTGATTCAGTGGTCACAGGGCTGCAGTGAAATGGGTCTGGGGGAGGTCTGAGGAGGAAGATACTAATGTCCTGTGGGTGGGATGTCAAAGAGGGCTTCAGAGAAGAGGTGACCTTAAAGATTAGTTACAGTCTATTAGTAGAAGAGGAAAGGACGTTAATAGGCAGAGGAAACAGCATGTGCAAAGGCCCTGTGGTGGGAATAAACCTGCTATTTTCTATAAGGGATCCTTGGCTCTACCCGAGAAGGTCACATCAAGGGGATGGGGTGTGGTTGGAACTGAGGGTGATTGCCAGTTTTTCAGATAGACAAGGTGGATGCGGGTGACCTCTGCTATTCAAAGCAGAAGGAACAGTGGTGCAAGTCCAAGGAGGCAGGAAATGACCTGGCGTGTTTTTGAAATGGATATTGGTGGGGGAGTAAAGAGGGAGGTTGGGGGGCCTGGTGTTGGGTCAAGTAGCCACAAAGCCAGACTGAGGGGTTAGTCTTTCTCCTGAGGCACAGGAGCCATGGAAGGGAGTTCAAGAGAGAAGAATATTCTGAGTCATTCCTTTTGATTAGTTCTGTTTAAACTGTTTGGCCCTCATCTTTGGGACTAGGTAACATTCATTTTCCAGAAGTCATTCCTGAAAATAATCTAATGTAATCCATACCACACAGACACAGCACACAATACAAACAAAAGACATAACCTCACTCATCATACCACATGCACACCACACACCACAGAAAAAAAAGAGAATAGGAAGCTGTGGTGGGGCAGAGGTTAGGGTAGAAAAACCATAGAGCCCAGAGAAGACCCATCACACACTGTCCTCACAGGCAGTTGAGCCATTTCCCCACCTGGGGCCAGAAGGGGCCAGGTTGCCAGGACAAATGAGGAAACTACCTTCCCAAACTACCCTGAAACAATGCGGGGATGGGTATCCAAACCAGCTGCAGTTGGGGTCAAGATGCCTCAGTTTTAACTGTAGAGGGGTCTGGGTGCCTGGAATCTGGATCAGAGAGAGGAGAGGGGCCTTGACTCCTGGGTCAGATGGAGGAAGAAGGACTTGGGTTTCTGGGCCTTTAAAGTTGGAGAGACTCAGAGTGTGAGCCCAGCCCTTCCTTAGCAAGGACCTCCACTCCCCACCCTTTCCTGGCTGCCCTGGGTGAAGAGAGACATAAAAGGGCTTCATTTCCTGGAGGAAGAACAGGAGCGAGAGAATTCTAGCTGCCCCGACCATGAGCTTCATCCTGCTGCCCAGCCCTCCTAGGCCTCACCCTCATGCTGCCCCTGAGTAAAAACCCCAAATTTGGAGGGGATTTCCTGGGAGGATGGGCTCAGATGGATTTGCTGTTCCCACCTCAGGAGTGCAGGCCCTGACCTGTCAGTCAGGAACACTGACGATTTGGAGGAAAACATCAGAACTGCCCTTGGAGTGGAAAACAGGCGAGGAATTCTGCATGGATGGCTGGGGTTGCCAAGATTCGCTTATGCTCATTGAGAATGGTGAGAAATATCCCAAAGGCCCCAAGCCTGACCCCACCTTCACCTGCACAGGGATATCCCCCCTCCTGAACAGTAGTCTCCAAAGACTCAGCTCCCCTCATGCCAGGAGCTGTCCCCTCTCCAACAGGAGCAAGCCCTCAGCAGCCCAGTTGCCTCCTCTCCATCCTCTCCCCCAGCCACGATGAAGACTCTCCCTCTAGCACACCAGAGTCCTGCTCCTCACCTGGCCTGTCTCCTTCTTCTTCTAGGACCCGAAGTGTTCCTAGAGCTCAGCAAGGGCTGTACCCAGAAGGAGGATCATGAGGTCCGTGTCACCCAGCACAGGAAAGGCCCTGGCCTCTCTGTCGTCTCCTACACCCATGTGTGTCGCCACAAGAACCTCTGCAATGACATCTCCACCACCCTCCCTGTCTGGACCCTGCTCACCTCTGCAGGTGAGAACAAGGAGGGAGAGGAGGAGGAGGAGGAGAGGACATGAGCTAGGGCAGGAGGCGAGCACTGAAGGGCTGTTCATTTAGAACCCCTCCCTCCCACCAGCCTGTCCACACTCCCTTGGACTAACTCCCCTGGCACAGCTTCTTCTAACAGTCCTGGGCCAAGCTCCTTTCTCCATACTGTTGAGCTTGGCTCACTCATGTTTCACTTAGGGTTTGGGTATATCCTCTTAACATGAAATTGGCCTATAACATTCCACTGTCCTTGTCCTATCTAATAAAAGAGAAACATGGTAATTAGCCATACATCTGCTACCCTTCCCATTGGCTAATCAGGGAGATATGCAAATTAACTGCCAGCCAAGATGGCGGCCGGCAGCCATGCACTGAAGCGAACAGGGAGGCTTGCTTGCTCCAGTGACTGCGGACTTCAACATTCCCCGCCTGACTTGCCGGCCTCTCAGCTGCAACTCTAAGCAACTATGTTGCAAATATAGAAGCTAAACCAAACCCCAGAAACCTGCGCTAGTCAGCCGGGCTTCAGCCAGCCGGACTGCAACATTGTATCAAATACAGAAGGTAAACAAAGGCCAGTAACCTGCTTTCAGCAGCGGAGGTAAAGCTGGCCCAGAATAAAAAAATAAAATAAAAAAGGAGCGGTTGGGAGCTTCAGTCACCCGCCAGCCTGAAAACGGCCCTCAGCCCCTCACCCAGACTGGCCAGGCACCCCAGTGGGGACCCCCACCCTGATCCAGGACACCCTTCAGGGAAAACCAGCCTGCCCCCACCCATGCACCAGGCCTCTATTCTATATAGTAAAAGGGTTATATGCCTCCCAGCACCGGGATCAGCATGACAGGGGGCAGCAACCAAACCCCCTGATGGTCCTGCGGCTCTGTGTGTGACAGGGGGCAGGGCCACAACCTCCCTATCCACCCTGCTCTGTTCGTGACAGGGGAAGGCGCCCCAACCCCCTGATCAGCCCTGCTATGCGCCTGATAGGGGGGAGCTCCCCAACCCCCTGATCGCCCTGCTCTGTGGGTGACAGGGGGGAGCTCCCCAACCCCCTGATCGCCCTGCTCTGTGGGTGATAGTTGGAGTGCCCAAACATTAGGTAAGTCTCGCTCTATGGTGATAGAGAGGGGGAGGCTCAAGCTACGACGGAACGAGGCATGAGTATAATGATCA